TCTCCCCGAGGCGGCGGGGGGGGGGTGGGGGGAGGTGTCTGTCCGGGCCCCCGGTGCGGGCACCGGGCCCGTGGTCCGAGCGGCGCGGCCGCGGACACCCCCGTGGCGACCCCGGTCACCCCTTCCCGGTACCCGGGGCGAGGCCAGACCGGAGGGGTCTGCAGTAAGGTGAAAAAAGTGGCGGTTGTCAACTTACAGATAGAAATAGGCAGGCTGTCAACTTACAGATAGCAATTTTTTAAATTTATGCCTGTTTTCAGTGATCCTGCTCAGCAGCCACTTGTGAATAAAATGGGTATTTATGACAATATTTCTGCTGTTGCTGCCTCTAGTGCAGCTGGTGATAGCACAGGTAGGAAATTCCGTACAAGCAATTCCTCTGAGATAGTTCTTAATGGTATCAGCAAGTCAGAGTTTACCAGACTTATTCTATTGTTGCTTTTAAAAATCAGCAGTGAAATTGTCAAGTGTCTCATTGGTATCCCATTACTTACTGTAAAGTAAGTTTTGGAAAACTTGGAAGAAAGTAGTGTAACAGAGTTTCCCCCTGCCCCCCCCAGACCGAAGGTCTTAAGGTAAGGTTTTATTGGTCGAAGAGAGTACAATTCCCTTTCTGCTCTGGGGAGAGATATGGGAAACTTAACATCTAGAACATTTAAACTTTAGCTTTACTCTCTAGCATTTAAAATGCAGCAGAATACCTTGCTGGGAATTTCACACTCAGTTGAGAAAGTGGTTGTGTCTGAATTTCCTACTACACGCCGTTCCTGAGTCTCGCCAGTGACTTCGTTCTGCCTTTGTATGCTCCTGAGAAGTAGAATAACTTGGTAAACTGTTAAATCACACATACGCTCCTTGAAATCAGTATTGACATATTAACAAGGGTACCAGAAACTGGGAAGAGATTAATTTTATTGTACAGATACATGTGTTTATACCAGACTGTTTTAAGTAACTTGCTAAAATTTCCAGTTCCTTTACAAGAGCCAATAAAGAACACTTCTTTTGTAACAACAGTAAAAGTGAAATTAGTATGTTGGGGTTCTTTCTGTTAATACAAACAACTGAGCTTTGTGGGCTTCAGAAATATTTTGAGGATTGTCTGTGTTGCATATCCTCCTCTGCATGAAGAATATAGTTGTGGTATTGTTTTTTTTGTTGTTTTTTTCCCCCCCTGCTTTTGGGAGTAGGGAAAAAACTTGTCCAAGGATTTATCATGCTATACATATGTGGTCACATCTAGTCTATCCTGCGAAGTTGAGGTGCTGGGAGTTGTGTGGGAAACTTCAATGTCATTGTTTCTGTAACTGGCACTAGCCTGTGGGCTGCAGGTATTTTAGATTTCCAGGATGTATTGTACACTGCTGAGAAGTTAGTTTGTGGGTGGCAGGTCAATAGGTTTCACTTCTTAATGTTTACAGAATCCTGTCTGACCCAGAGTAAGTTTTGGTCTGCCCATTAAGTTTTTCTGTTCTCAGTGTGGGTCTTGTGAACCACATACTTTGAATGCTTCATGGAAAAAATGAACCTCTGTTTAAATGCAAAATCTATTTTCTGGATAAACTGAATCTCTGAATACTTTTTTTATTCACTAGTGCTTCAGCAGCTATCAGTTAATGTATCCAACTTTTGCTTGAAACGTTAAAGCTGCAGTTGTACTGAGAGTGAAGGATGAAACAGTTTTCCTAAGTCACACCTCAGATATTCTGTCACGCTGTCCCAACTCCTGAGCTGTGAGATGAGGGGGTGATTTTTCCATGTGCTGTGTTTCCCAGTGGTTGCCTTAGCCATCATTTCCCAGGAAAGATGTTTCTTTTATGTTTCTTCATGTTCAGGGTTGAACTGGGTAGGAAGAGTGGGGATTTAATGTTTTTATTTAGGAACAGAGTGCACCTGGGAATGGTGTGGTATGAAACTGTACGTGCAAACTTTTGTGACTGAGTTACATTTGTTAAAATTAATTCCCTCTGTATTGTTGTCCTCAAGCAAAGGTCTTAGTTTTTTGCTTCGGTATCTACCTGATGCCCAGCACCAGTCATCTGTAGTGGCTGAGACCCCTATGGGATGCCCAGCACTGGTCCTCAGCTACTAAGAATAAGTTTTTTAATCATTTTTAGCATGGGTTCAGCTGTATGTTTAACAAGAGTTTATAAAAGTGCTAAGCTAAAATTCAGCACTGTGCTGCAGAAATGCTGTTGGAGCTCTAGTCAGCCATAATACGGCGTTTCCATTCCGTTGTCTTCTAAGGACTTTGCTCTCATTTAAGTGGTGTAATTGTGTCATGGTTAATTGGCAGGTTATTTTCATCTAATAGTTTTGAATTATTTCTCTCTAGGATAGTGCTTTTAATGGTACATCATTTGCTAATCAGGTAGCACACCAAGAGATTCAAGCACCAAGCTTTCTCCTGAACAGCAGTGATTTCTTGACTCTGACACTTGTGAGATGATCTGTCCTTAGAGGCCAAATTTACTTGGCTATGTAGCTGAACTTGAAATACCAAGTTCAGGGCTGGGAGACTGAAGTCTTGCTTGTCAAGAAATATCTTTTGTAAGTGCATTCCCAATTTCTATAAGAAAAAAAAACCAACCAAAACCTATGTTCCTGATAGTACTGCATAATACTGCATTTCTTTTGGGGGTACATTCAATTTTTTTTAGCAATTAAAGAGAAGATTTTTTCAAAATTAAATACAATTATAAAAGTATAGCTAGGTTTTGGAATAGTGGTGTGTCACTGGGTCATGAGTTCTCTGAAGTGGCTAGTTAAAAAAAAAAAACAAACAACATACATGAGTTTGGTTGTGTTTTATAGGCTTAGCTGAATAGAAATACCTTGTACTTTTGTTAGTACAAGGGTGTGAAATGCATAGCTGTGAGTTACTTTTTATACATGCTCAACACAACTTTTTTATATTAAAAATTTATATTAAGGTCAAAGTTAAAGCTGGTAATGCTTCTCTTCAATAAGAAAAAAAAATCTTTTCTAACTCTCTGTTGTTTTCACAAATACTTTGTTTAACTATGTTAAACTGGTATTTTGTGTAGGATGACAGTATATGGAAGGAAGTGCACATTTTAAAAAAATATTCTGGTTCTAAGGACGCTTTCTTCAATAAAAAAAATATTTAAAACCTGAAAGAATTTGAGTGGATGCAGTGTGAGATGGAAGCAGCGGTAATGAGTAATGGATGGTATGGCTTTTAGAACTAACCCATCCTTTAATGGAAGAGCTTTTCAGTGTTCTTTTGGGAGCACCTTCTTCATAGTCACAGATGTCGGCAGATGGATACTGCTGATTCACTGGTATAGATGATGTGCTGCCTCCACCTAAGCATAACTACAGTTGACTTTCATAGGAAGGCAGTGCAAATGCCTTAAAACTTGCTAAAGACTGCAGATTTCCAGCCAGGCTGTTTCCTGTTGTCATGAATCCTCCGGGAAACAGATTCTTTTGATTTTTGTTTAATGGTGGTTTTATGTTTACTGCTGTGGTTTCTATGAAATAGCTCAAATTTCTGCTTGAAGTAAATATGCTGAAATAAATTTTCATTTTTTGTTCCTCTTCAGGCCTTCGCACAATTTGATGCTGAAGGAGATGGCACCGTAGATGTGGAGAATATGCTGGAGGCTCTCAAGAATTCTAGTGGCGCTAATCTTCAAGGGGAGCTTAGCCATGTAATCAGGCAACTGCAAGCTTGTTCACTAGTTCCAGGTATGAGAACAGAGTGACAAAATGAATGGTTTCCCATGTCCTGCCCTATATAAGGAGTGCCACTTCAGTAAATTGAGTATTGTTTGTCCTAATCTTCTCAAAACCATAGTCCGAGTCGTTCTCGATTCTCTAGTATCAAATTAGTGAAGTGCAGTAAATTAAAAATTTCCCATAATTACATCCAGCTAACTTACTTTTATAAATAACCAATATTTTCTTCTCTGTGTGACTGGGGAGCTTCTTATCCTTGTTCGGGTTATCTCACAGACAGAAAACAGTCCCTTGCAAAATTTTGGTGGGTGCCTAACTAACGCAGTGTTGTACTTGGTAACTGGAGGAATAAATCCTCCATTGAGTCTGTTTCAGGTGATGAGTCATATACTTTCTTATATTGTTATTTAGCATTTGAAATCCTGCTAAAACATAATTCATGTTTCATAGCATATAGTTTGGAAAGCGTCACTTTCCAGAATTTGATTTCTGGGATAAGTATCAGTTACTGGCTTTCCTTCCAAGCTTTTCATGATAAGTGGCTAAAGGGGATTTGCCTTAGAGGATCAGACGTGTTAGGATTGGCTGGTAGGTAAGTCAGAGGAGAGTACGCTACAGGGTAGTATTCTATGCATCTAGATGCACTGTGATTCAGAGTACTGCTGTTCAGGAGCTGAAATTTCTTAGGAAGTTGGTGGAGGGTGTTAGGCACCTCTTTGAGAATAATCCACAATGCCAAAGCGAGCTGCTTAGCGTGGCTCAAGGTGAGTGATGTGAGTACATGAGCTCGTTAGCCAAGTGGCATCTGTTCCACCTAGCTATTGAAGGTGGGAGTTCGGAACTTTTAGGACAGCAAAATAAGCATAAGAACTAAGATTTTTGGTGATTGTTTTGAACAGCTTCAGGCATTTCAAGTAACTGGCACAAATATTTGTCTGCACCTTTCACAGTCCTGCTGTAAAGAGCGCAGATTTGAGCTACTTCGTATGGTGGAATGTAGTTCCGACGTTGGCTCTTGTGCTTACTTTGGATTTACCTAGTAAGAGGATGTAGAGGGGGAAATGATGACTTGATCAAGTCAGATGTTGCAACAAAGATAGAAATAATGTCTCTTTCTAGGTTTTATTGATATATTTTCTGAGTCAAAAGAACGTCTTGGTCTTCATGCTTCGATGATACTGAGATTCTTGCACCGGAATCGGATTTCTAGTACTGCCATCCCTTACCCAGTGTTGGAGTACTTCAACAATATCTGTACTATGCGGTCTTCTGTATTGAAGGATTCTTTAGATCGACTTCTCCTAAAAGAGAGAGGTATGTAATATCTTCCTTTTTTTTTTTTTCCTGGGTGGTAGCGTAACCATAACTTAAAGATAAAATAAAAAAAACTTTCTGTTTAATCTTTAACAGACATGATTTTTTATGAAGTTGATCTGTGTGTTTCAGTGGGGTTTTTTGTTTTTGGTTTGTTTTTTTTTTTTGAGGCACATAAATTGTTTCCCTAACTGCCTAGCAATCTGAGTAACAGACATGGATATTTTTCATCTTTCTTCTGACCTGTTTCAGAATGATGATAACTAATTTGCGATATTCTCCATTCAGTCAAATATCTCTACTAGTTGCTGGAAACTTAGTTTCCGTGTGAAGGTGAATGTTTTCTGAAGCTGACTGTTCAGTGTTAAAAAATAATAAGAGGTAGCAAATCTTTTATTGTATTTCATATAAGACTGTGCTGGTGGTCTCCCTAGGGGGAAGGCTCCTTTTCTTCACAGCTTGACTTGATGCTTTCAGATCTCTGCACTTTTATTGAAACAGATCAAGTATTTGGGGCAACAGTCTGCTTTGTCCCTTCCCTAGAATAGCTGAATTGAGGTTTTCTCCATCATACTTTACTTTTTCCTCTCATCTGTTTGTATTTTGGAATAATAATAGTAAAGCACTGATGAGGCCAGTAACAAAAAGAGGAGATAAAGGCTATTAACTCAAGGCGGAGTAGGTGTTTTCATACTGCAAGTGGTAGATTGAGATTATTATGATTTCATCTGAGATGAAACTTTGCTGGTTCTATCTGAAAACACTATCTAGGTTCTATCCAAAACACTTCTTCACGGGCTGTGTTCTGTGCCAACAAGTTAATTTACATGAGATAATTGTTATAAAGGTATCATAATTCTCAAAAACAAGCAAAAGAAGAATGTTATGAGTGATTTGTTTTCTTTGCAGAATACCCCAGTGACTTGAATGGTAATCAGGAGTCGGACAAACTGAAGTCTGTCACAAAGTGCTATACTCACATAGAAACCTCATCCAATTCCGCCGATATTGACAAGATGACAAACGGAGAAACAACATCCTTCTGGCAGTCGGATGGGAGTGCTCGCTCGCACTGGATACGGTGAGCGACAGCGATAGGCAGCTCAGTTTAGGGGTTTTATAGCCAGTGGGGTGTAATTGAAAAAAAAATAAAAATAGTGGAATTAATGACTGACAGACAAATATAGTTGAGAGCAGAAGTCATTAATCTCTGCATAAAGTTTAAAGGCCTAGTCACCAAATAAAAGCGTTCACCTGTAAAATACATGCATCTTCCATGCTGACATACCCTTGTTTTGTAGCTAAGCTTTCCAAACTGCAGTGGTTAGTACTTGAATAGAAGGGCTTTGACACTGTCTAGGAAGTTACTGCTCCATGAAACAGAAATGTTTAGTGGTTTTTCAGTGGTATATATAGAAACAGAAATGTTTAGTGGTTTTTCAGTGGTATATATAGAATATATACTTTAAAAAAAAAAACAAAACCAAAACAACCACACACCTCATTTTGGTCATTACTGACACTACATTTTTATTCCCGAGGAATGAATTCTCAGTTGAAAAGCTCAACAATAGAAAATTCTACATTCTCACGATCAGAGATGACTGTTAAGTCTATTACAAGTTTTAAAATGTGTCCACTGTGATACAGGGTTGGTAACGCCTGTGAAGCGTTAGGTAATTTCCAGTGTGTGTTTTTTGTCTTTGTAGAAGTGGAAACTGAGTGAAGTTTAGCTAAAAGCGAAGTACTTGACTTATCTTCTCTTTGCAAGAACTGTTTTATCTTTGCTTTGCAGTTTAAAGATGAAACCAGATGTTGTTTTGAGACATCTGTCCATTGCGGTGGCAGCTAATGACCAGAGTTACATGCCACAGCAAGTTACAGTGGCAGTGGGAAGGAATGCCAGCAGTCTTCAGGAGGTCCGAGATGTTCACATTCCAAGCAATATCACTGGCTACGTAACACTGTTGGAAAACGCTAACATTAGTCAGATGTGTGAGTCAATAAAGATACCGTTGGTATATTGTTTTGCTGCTGCTTTGAAAGGTGAAAGGTTGGGTAGATCGTAGCATGGTGTGTTGAAATGTCGGTCATTAGAGCAGATATTTTGACTTTATCCTTTTGACCTCAACCTTGGGTGAGAGAAAGTGTTTTAATTGTAGTTTAGTTTCTAGCCTACAACAGTTTTCTGAGTCTTTCTCATGGTATCTGTCTAACTTGGGCTAAGGGTTGAAGAGCTAAAATGACTAAAGATGCAGTTTTAGCCTATCAATTTGAAGGCACTGGACAATTTTAAAATCTCTTTGCTTGCACCGTGAAAGCATATGTTGGATAATAGTATCTAGCAAAAAATCTGCTTCTGAGCAACTTTTTTTTTTTTTGTTAGCAAAACTCCGAGGCTGGTCAGATGATTTTTGTAAAGCAGGTTTTATGCTAAGGATTTTTAAGTAGTGTTATTTTTAAGTCTGGTAGATGTGTGGGTGCGATATTGGAATCAATCGGAGGAAAGCTGCTCCTTCCTAAGATGGTTTCTGCAGCTTCAGAAATTTTGTCCCTTCAATTCAAACAGGCGCTTTTCACTAAGGTGAACTTTTCGCTGCCACAGAAGCGCGCAGCAAGGATGTTGCTCCTCAGAACTAACTAGGACAACGTTAGCTATGCAAACTGCTCAAGCATTTGTGTGAAAATTTTTATGTAACTTAAAACTTTGCTTTTAGGCTTTACTCTTTTTTTTCCCCCTATCTTCTCCACTACCACTCCCAAGATACTTCCTCTGTATGTGGGTGAAAAGGTACTGGTGAAATAGTCTTATTCTCAGGGTCTTTTGCTACTTTTTTCCTAATTTCTAGCGGTGCAATATGTAATGGATCACACAGGCCATTCAAAGGCTAAATTTTCCAAATCGTAGGGTGCCTGGTGAAGAAACACATGTATAGTTGTCTGTATGTGGGAGTACTGTTACATATCTGCTGCCATTTTTCTAAGAGGTTTTGCAGTAACTACTGTTTTGAATATCTGGATTCTTCTGGATCTGATCCAGCAGAAGAAACGTGAAAAAAAAAATATCTATTTTGTGTGTTGACAGATGTACAGATAAACATCAAGCGTTGCCTTAGTGATGGCTGTGACACTAGAATCCATGGACTCAGGGCCGTCGGTTATCAAAGAGTTAAGAAGGTGGGCGTCTCTGTGTGCGATGCTTCAGCTATCTGGTACTGGTCTCTGCTGACCTCGCTGGTAACAGCTTCCATGGAAACAAATCCAGCATTCGTTCACACTATTTTACAAAATACTCAGTAAGTATCAAACTTCCGTGGTGTGTCATTTATTTATGTATTTAATACTTCCAGCTTTAGTAAACTAATCTACCTTGTGTAATTGCATTCCACTCCCTCCATTAGGGTGTTTAAACCTCTTTTTAGCTATCACACTGTTTAAATTTTGATATTTCTCTATTATCCATCTGCACGTGCTAGAACAAGTGTAATTCTCCTACCTGCTGTATCTGATATAGTTGTTAGGCCGTCACTGAACAGGCACTGAAAAATATGTTTTACCCATTCTTTGTCTTGTAATATTTTCAAGAACCCTAACATTTATTAATTTTCTTTGTTAATATTATTAATTATAAAGAATGGACACCTTCCACTTAGGAAAGGAGCTTTAATTAGGCTTAATTTTCAGCAAATTTTTGCTTGTGTAATGCCTTGTCATGCATTGCACGAGGATATAGTCACTTATATGCGCTATCTCTGTGCAGATGTTTGTTTGTGATGATTTGCCGTTTTCTGTGTAACGTTTCCTTGTTTGACTGCCAAACACTTCTGCTCGATGACTTGAAGGATTGGAATCCTAATAAAATCGCTACACACCCACATCAACTTTTATAGAGCTTAGTTAACATGATGCCGCCATTTAAGAGTACTGCTGTCATTAGGTTAATGACTACTGCAGGCTAAAGTCCTTTAGGCCTATCCTTAATTGGTGTCACCTATGAAACCACTTTAAAGTTTAAATAACTTTATACATGCTTACATCTGAGGCAGGTTCATAGTTCCAAGCTTTACTAAAACTGACAGCCTTCAGTCGTGCTACAGTTTAGATATTTGTTAGAAATACAATATGGATCCTGAACTAATAAAGCCTAAAAAAGTCATGAAGAAGTCTTGACTAAAAATATGCATTCAGGAATTACAAATTAGTGTTTGGAATTATAAAGCAAAATCCTAAACTTCAGTATTGGATAGAATGACTTTGAAACGGCTTAATAATTCCTCTTTTCAGGGACTATTACATTATCTCAGGAAATCAAACAAAAATCCTCATCTGAGCTAACAGATTGCTCTCTTGGTTTCTGTGATTGTCTGGAAGAATTTAAAAGCAATTTTCCCTTTATTAACGGGCTTTTACTCAATTCTAGAACTATTTAAAATGAAGCAGTACTTGGACACTAAGCTATTTCTAATGCTGTCACCGATTTAATTCAAAACCCCTTGATTTATTAGTCTCATTAAATCTGAGATCGAGGCTGAGATTCAAGATTACCTAGCAGTCGTTGGACTTTCCCCGCCTAGAATGCAATACTGTTCTTACCTTTTGAACAGATTCTCTGTGTAAATAGATTTTCTGCATTCAGAATCTATTTGTAGAGACCTACCCATATAAAGGATGAAGATTCCAATGTCTAATTCATTTTAGAAGGCTGTTTTCTCTGATTCTGTCTGGGCTTCTGATGTTATATTCTGGCCTTTTTACTAGGAAAGCACTGCAACACATGCCACCTCTATCCCTAACGCCGGGCTCTACAGATTTTTCAAGCTTCTTATCTCCAAATGTTTTGGAAGAAGTCGATAGCTTTCTTATAAGAATAACAAGGTGAGGTTGTGTTGATGTATTTTGATGTAGTGCAAAACGGTTTAGAAGAATTTATGTGGCAAATGGATCTTATTTTTACTCACCTGCTTCTTTTTTAGTATCTTGAAAAAATTCAAAGACAGTAAGAAACAGGCACCTTAAATTTTTCCGTGTGAGCATTATTTGTCTTTATTTAAAAACAAAGCGTCCTGAGTTTTCTTTTCATGTTGTTGTATTTTTTTCCCTCCCCAGCTGTTGTACTACTCCAGAGGTTGAACTTACGCTATTGGCCTTTGCCTTAGCCAGGGGGAGTGTCGCTAAAGTGCTGAGTTCCCTTTGTACAATCACTGATCATCTGGAGACTCCGTACAAGGCTTCATCCCTTATCGCTTCCATGGCAACAGTCAGACAGAACCTGCTGTATAAATATGGTAAATGAAGAATTGTTGGATCCTTTACTATATGTACTTAAGACAATATGCAACTTTGAGTCGTTTTACTTCTGCTGGGGTTTAAAATTATAGAAGACTTCCAAATTAACAACTCTTACCAAGAAGATTGCAGCCCGTGAAGCTGGACTGCCCTAAAAGTCGGTGATTAGATCAGCATTCTGTGATTGAAGAATTGAATCAGGTGCCATCATCTTGAGGGAGAAAGGACGAACTTTGTAGGTAGTGGCCCCTATATCAAGATGGTGATAGTGTTTGTATTGTAGAAAAGGCAAATGACAGCAAGTATTTTTATTCTTCCAATAACATACTTAACTTTTTTGGGTATTCAGCCTCAGTAAGTGGTCTATCTTGCAGACATATGCATGTGCACAAATTTAAAATGTGTTTTAAACGTAACATCATTAGCATCTGTTTGCAGTTCTTTATTTTCACTTTTATAAATCAACCTGAGTATGTCATAGGTGTAGAGTTGTGTGTGGCCTGGCATAACGTGTAAGATTTTGGTGTATTGACTGTACTTGTCTGATAAATCTGTATTTTCTCAAGTGTCAACTTCTGAGATTACCGTTACTTTCTCACAAAGAATTTTCCCCTTTGTTTGCTTTCTAGTAGGTTTTGTTAGGACTTCTTGGCTTGTACCAAAGAGTACGTTAATTATTTTATAGTTATTGTATCAGTATTTACTTTCCAAAAGTTTGAAAATTGTTTCATTTCTCTGAGTACCCGCTGCTTTTTGCAAGACGAGTAGTATTGTGAATTCCAAAGTGTGCAACAGTTGAGAGAACGTTGTTTGTCATGATTTTCATTGTCCTCATGTCCATATCTAGAACTTTAGCTATGATTACCATATCTCTTATACTCCACTTTCTTCCTCTTTTTTTTTTTTTGTCTGACAGTGGTAAAAATCTTATAGTATTGTAAGGTTTTTTTCATTTGTTTTCTGTGTGAGGAACTTAAAACTGGAAAATAGGCTTTTCATTTTATGAATTTGATAAACCTGTTAATTCTCTTATTTAGGAAAACCATTACGACTAACTCTGCAAGCATGTGATGTAAAGGGAAAAGAAGATAAATCAGGGCCTGAAAACCTCCTTGTAGAGCCATGGACTGGGGATGGTAAGAGCCCGTACTTAGAATCCAGAATATTCAGCCAGAAACAAAGGCTGTTAACAAGGCTATGGTGCTGTTGCGTATATATTTATATATATTTGGTGCTACTTGATAGCTTAATGATATAGAAAATCTGTAAAAAACCACAAAAAACTCCAACAACAATCCCCCCACCCCAACAATATGTAAATTCTGTTTTACAATAAGGTGGGTTTCTCAGGAGCCTGTTTATTGTCAAAACAAAACAAACAAAGACACGATTGGGTTTGGGGGAGAATTACTGATATTTTATGTGGAAGTCAGCAATGAGCTGTCACAAGAAAATTATACCAGAGCACATTTTGTGGGCTGAAGTCATGAATCATTCCCTGCTAGTTTCCCAAATATTGATGGAGAGATGCGGTAGAAATCATTGCAGTTTTCACTGACTGTACGTAACTATTAATTCTCCTTTAAAGCCTGTCTTTGTTAATGCAATGTTTTTATGTACTGGATGCAACCTAAAGAAAGAGGTTCGTATTTCTTGACCTCCTTTTTAAGTGAAATATCACCTAATCCTTTTTTAAAAAACATGTGTATTGTCTTGTGCAATGCTACTGGTAAATGAAAGCTGCTGTGACAGAAAATCGGGCACATTCTGACTGCTTATTTTACCCCTTTGTTTGCTCGTGCGTGGTGTTTGATTTTATTCTTTAGTTATTTTGTGGATTGGCTTCTGTTGTTTTATGGATCACAGTTTGGGGAACAGTGAATCGCATCAGTGAAAAGAGCCACACGCAAAAGTAATATTTGGGAGTTACTAATCGCCTTTAATGGGGAAACACTCTTGAGATTGCTGCGGATACTGCAGCCCCGGAGAGACACTGGCCGGAGAGACCAGTCTATGCTCTGTGGGAGCGTGGACTAACATGATACAGTCTTTTTACTTGTCTTCTCCTCTTTTGTTTGGAAACATCTCCTAATGAGCGTTTCACTAGAAAAGCATCATATTTTTGTTTCCCCCTTCAGCCCACAATCTTAGTATTGTCTTTCAAAGAGCTTGCACTAGCAGTCCTTCCAACCTCCTTCCATTCCCACTGCTGCTTTAGGTTTTCTTACTGAAACTGGGAAGACCAGAGCAAGTATCATTCTGTCCACTGGAAGTGAATCTTCATTTCAAGTGACACAAATTAGAATAAAGGTATGTAGTTCCTTTGTGCTTTTCCAGGAAAAGGCTTGCTTTTTTCCTTAATGGTAGAGTTGAATTAGAATCTTTTCTTTTTTGGTGTGAACTGAAATTTTAAATTTGTCATGCAATAGTGTTATTTTGGGGTTTTACTTTTATATAAGTCACAGGGAACTTAAGGAAACGGAGGTCTTCAATTGTTTCAGGATACCACAAGTGTATAGTACAGACATTTTTCATTGCTTTTGTCTCTCTCTTGTGATATACTCAAGCCAGTGAGCCTTGGGTGCATGCTTTTTCTATAAAGAGTATGGATTTATTTGTAGGATTATATACCTTATACTTAAAATAATTTTTCAAATCTGTGAATAGCAGATTTCAAGATATATAGCATGTGAATTCAGATTAAATGTAGGGTCTTTTAAATCCTTTTTAGAGACATCAGTGTAATTTGAACACTTGGAGCAATTTTATGTAGTTTAAAAGCAAGATCTTGTCATGAAATCTCATGGCCAGAACAAAACTTCTGAGAAATTTGTGCAGCTGCATTGATTTATTTATTTTAGACAAAGCAGTAGTTTAATTCCTGGGGCAGCTAGGGTGCTTGCAGAGTAGCAAATATTAACCGTGTGTGTGATCCTGGTTCAGTGACTTATTCTAAGTTTTCATAATGTTTAAAGAAATGTATTTCACTTTTCTTTAGGTAAGAAGTGCAGTTCCAGAGATCAGTATTGTCAGTATCTAGTTGTTTTCCATATCTTTTTTTTTTTTCCTTCTGTGAAAGCAACCCCTTTTTTTATTGTCAGCTTTTTAATACGTTGCACTGCATTTGTTCTTTTAGGTCCGAAGAGGCGCCATTGGGGCCCAGTGTGGGCTGGTGTTTGCTTACAATAGCGCTACGGAAAAGTTCCACGCAGAGGAACACTTCAAAAGATTTGAAAGCTACGACAAATGGAAGCTGCGGGAATTCAAACAATTTTTAAAAAACAGGTATATGCGGACTTTTTGTAATGAATACATCAAAAATAAATGTTGTATTAGATCTTTTTGCAATGCCACTTGAACTACTGAGAATTGTTCCAAATGACTTAAAGATGATGCGTCCTTTGTTACTTGTTGGATTTTAATGAGCTTCAATTTGATGCGTTTGAGGAAATAAACATATAGCTGTTGTTTTCAACCTCTTGATTTAAAGACGTGTTTAAAAAGGGATATAACAAAACAAACTGTCTACTTGATGTGCAGATCAATTTATAGGGAGATCATACGTTAATTAGCTTTTATTAAGTTACTTTCTCAGTGTTGCTTAGGAGTCAGGGCAGGTTAGGGACCATGACAAAAAAGATGTCCTTAATTTTCTTACCTTGCGTGTGATAGAGTTTGGGTACGCGAAAGTTTCTGTTGTCTCTCTTCTCATCTTTATAGGCAGAACATGCTAAAAATATTTTGGTAGAATATCAACAGCTTTGCAGTTTCTTTAAAATTTTTCTTTACAAAGTTTATGTTCTTTTATACGTAGAAGCAGTTGTTCATGTGATGATTTGGGAGATGATGATCCTATTGGCTGGTTTGAAGTGGAAGAAGAATGGGACGAAGTTGATGTCAAAATGCAGCAATGCAGAATTTCCCAAGTAAGAAACCATGAAAATCCATTTGCCCAGTCACAGTGAGCAGAGGGTCATCCCTGTGCTTTGTTGTAATGCCAGCTGAAATAAACGTAACTTGCTTTTTGTGCAAAGAGAAGTCTTCTGGGTAGAGGTAAAAATCAACGGGCTTCTAGTTAAATGAGTGATTCAGCTTTTGCCCTCTGAGTTTTATTCTTTTTTTCTGTTACGTACACATATATAGCTGTAGTTAAATGGTCCTTCAGGGTCAAATTTAATGCAAAATTACATGATAATGCACAGACTAGTGGCTTTGTCATGAGTAGATATTTCTGCAGAGGAATACATTCTTGTTGCTTTATTCTAATATATAGACAAATTAACCACTGCGCAGTTAAAGCATTTATTCTTTCAGAGCCAGGGTCTTCAACCCTTGTTTTTAGGGACAAAAAATTACTAAGCAGTTCCATCAGTTAGGTTGATTTCCTTGAGGAATGTGGGACTTCTCTGTTCCAAGAGTGGCAGAATATGGGTTTGGTTCGTAGTGCTTAAGTAGGAAACTTTGCTTTTCAGACCCTGCATTTATCTTGTTTCTGGAGTCAGCTGTTGCGTAGTTCCCCAATCCTTTTTTTAATACTGTGGAAGTTAGCAGAAGTAGCGCACAGATATAAGTCAACTGGGATTTTTTCTAAAACCGTCACTGCTTGCTAAGACGTTCTGCTGTTGTCTGTGTAACCCTTAGTCCCCGAGCCTGGTGAGTGTGCAGTTACTAAGTACATTTAGGTGGCAGAACTTGCTGTTCCCTTCAGCTTTGCCTTCTGTACCTCACTGTGGACAGATTGCATAGAAGTTATTTTTTAAATATTACATATTGATCCTCTGCTTGCTTTTAAATGCAGCTAATATTTTTTTAACCTGCAAAAATGCTGGAACTAGAGAGCCGAGGAACAATATCCAGAATGAATGGAACGGATAATGAATTAACGAACTTAGATGCTTGTGGAGGTCACAGAACCATCACCGTGACTTTTTTGGATGTGAGGAGACTTCAAGCTTAGCCCGAAGGCTCGGTATTTTAAACTTTGGGAGGTGATTGACAGGGAATAAGGCTTGCTGCTCCTACCTCACCTGCAGTCTCCTCACATATGCCCGCTCATGTCTTTTAAAAGCCGAATTTGTACTAACTTTTAAACCCAAATCTTGTGCTGTGTTTATATCCTTCCAGTACTTGATGATAAAGTTCTTGTGCACAAGACAAGACACAGCAGAACGGCTCGGTGTTCAAGGCCTGAATGTTCTTGGCTATCTTCGGCCTATGCGAGACGAGCCCAATAGGAGCATGAACTGCTTACAGTGCCGGAAAACGGATGATGATACTGTTTGTGGCACAACTCTTCTCCTGAAGACACTTCATTTCATCCAGCAGCTGGCACAGGACCTGGTAATTTTACTTAGTTCTTTTTAAGCGTGTATTTACCATGCTAAAAGTGATAAGGCAATGCTAACAGTAATTGGGAATGGGTAAAGTCTTGCTACTAGGTACTAGTGACGGTTAAAACCATGCTGTGGGGGGAAAAAAAATGGTTTCTGAAAAATAGCATTCTGTGTATGTTTACTGAAGTTGACTAGGAATATAAAATCATAGAATCATCAAATGGTTTTGGTTGGAAGGAACCTTAAAGATCATCGAGTCCCACCCCCCTGCCCTGGGCAGGGACACCTCCCACCAGCCCAGGTTGCTCCAAGCCCCGTCCAACCTGGCCTTGAACACCTCCAGGGATGGGGCAGCCACAGCTTCTCGGGGCAACCCATCATAAATTAGACCAAGTAGCTTTGCCTTTAAAAATGGAAGGAACTCTAAATGTAAGAATTAAATACTGAGGTAAATTTCCTATAATTACCTGTACCCCAAATGAAACTCTCATGGTACACAGTCACATCTCTTCAAGCTACAAAAATATACCTAAGTACATTTAAAGGAATATATGATGAGGTGGATAAATAATAGAATTGTGAAGTAAACCATGAGGTCATTATTTTAATGATTATTTCAAAAGGGATCTGGTTTCACATGACAAAGAATATGAGCTTCCATGAGCTGTTGGCCACCACTAACAGCTAGGAGACATCTCCAGAACATCACTGTCTCTTAGCTCGTTCCATTGGGAAATATCAAAGGGTCTATTGGTCCTCGATGAAACAAGCATGATGTTAGTTGTTAGAGTTTGGTGGGGGTTTTTTTAATAAAATGTGGTATCGTAGATTTTGGGGGTTCAAAGTCTTTTAGAAAGCAGGATGGGTTTTAATGTCCGTAAGGGCTGCGCCAGCCGGGACAAAAACTTGAATGGGAGGTGTGGGATGGCGCTCTTGCTGCCTTGCCTTGCCCAGGTCAGGGTGCAGTGGTACCAACACCTCTCCCCTCAGAATCCAGAGAATTAAAACCAAGTTCATAGAATCACAGAATGGTTTGGGTTGGAAGGGACCTTGAAGACCATCGAGTCCCACCCCCCTGCCCTGGGCAGGGACACCTCCCACCAGCCCAGGTTGCTCCAAGCCCCGTCCAACCTGGCCTTGAACACCTCCAGGGATGGGGCAGCCACAGCTTCTCGGGGCAACCTGCCCCAGGGGCTCACCGCCCTCAGAGTGAAAAATTTCTTCCTAATATTTAATCTAAATCTCCCTTCTTCCAAGTCGAAGCCATTCCCCCTCGTCCTATCACTACAGGCACTGCTAAAAAGTCCCTCCCCAGCTCTCCTGTAGCCCCTTTAGTGACTGGAAGGGGCTCTCAGGTCTTCTTCAGGCTGAACAACCCCAACTCTCTCAGCCTGTCCTCCCAGCAGAGGGGCTCCAGCCCTCTAATCATCTTCATGGCCCTCCTCTGGACCCACTCCAACAGGTCCATGTCCTTCTTATGTTGGAGACTTTGGGTCTAGAAGAGAATTAAGAACCATTTTTCAGTATCAGGTTACAAGGTGGGTTAAGCAGATGCAACCGAAGGACGCTGTGCTGTTTTAGATAATGAAGCTATTTCTGAAGCAAGCATGGGGGAAAGTGCTTAGAGAGGTAGCTAGAAACGTTGGATAGATTAAAGCATGTCCTCTTTTTATCTGAAATAATTTGGTAAATATCTAGGGTGAGACGTATTCAGTGAAGAGGTATGGCTTATATATGCTGATGTATGTCAGTATGATGTACCCCACTTCTGAGGGTATATGTCAAAATCGTGTTTTGTTCATACAGTGCATGCATCTGTGCCTTTTCAGCTTCAGTGCTGAACCATGGGGAGTCTCATTTTGGTCGTTACTTACTTTCAGTCGAATTAGGTGAAGAGGTAGAGGTTGTAAAGTCTTTTGGTGGTGGAGGACAGGGATGGGGGACAAGACATCCAGAAAGAGGAGGGAGAATCCTTATTAGTAGCTCTGTGAAGGGGAAGATTTCAGCATGAGCTATCACATTTAGACACTGGAATATCCATGAAAGAACTTACACTGGAATTCATGTTAGCTGCAAATTTATAGGAAACTAGGCTGCTTTAAGCCCAGTGCTCAAGGATTTATGTTTTATAAATGTGTTCTGTATAGAGTTAACTTTCCAATCCTGCATTTTGTTTGCCTTTTTAAGGTTCAACAGAAGGAGAGTGGATTAAAATACAAGTCATTTTTAGATTTCACGGGCCTTGATTTGCAGCTGTTCTGGAACTTCTACAATAAACTTCACCAAAAGTAAGTCACTTCTTTACTGTGTGGTGAAGCACTAATTCGTGTGTGTATGTATAAATAAAGTATGCTTAGTTTAGTTGCAGCAGTTTCTTCTTCCTAAACTACATTATTTATATAACTAACACTTTCTTAGTGTTACCATATGTGTTTTTAACTATAATGTTATGTAGAAGCTTGAGATGTAGATTAATTTAGCTGATAGCTATACTTTTTTTGGCTATGCGCTCTCTACACAGCGTTTTTTAATCCATCTGAGATGGTGACTTTCGTAGCATTATCCATTTGGTGCAAAAGAGCTTCTTTTCTAGTTTTTGCTTCTGTTTGTTGTATGCTTTGTTACAGCCCAAGGGAAGAATGCATCTCTGCTCAAACAATGCTATTGCAGCTTCTCCAGAGCTGCTTCTCTGTACTTACTGGAGACAATAAAACTGCTAAACCTCAAGAAACTTCTCAGAGCAAAACATCTGGTCACACAGAAGCTGCAGAAGAGCTTTATAAACATTTGTGTGAAGGTAATTTATATTGAATATATTAACTGTTTTGTCTGTTTGTGTTACAATCGTTACAATTTGGGAAGAGATATTTATTCCTAGAGGCTAAGTCAGCTACTGTTTCTTTGTTTTTTCTTCAGGTCAGTGTGGGCTAATTAGTCTATCACAGTGAAACTTTCCTTGACCCTATGAAATGGTTTTATAGACTGTCTGGCAACAGCTGTGATAGAAAACTTCTTTCAAACATGTCATGCAAACATTGAACCATCAGGGAATGTGGTGCTTTAACTATAATGTTACTGAGGTTCATTTATCTCTGATATTTCGTATAAATATGAATGATCTTACAAGGAGCCTGTAAGGTTTACAGAAAGCCAGGGAAGATTCTGAAGCCTGTGAGGAGAATGGGAATTACACGTTAGATTTCATTGGAAGTAGGATGGTACCCTCTTTATTTAAGTATATTTGATTTCTTAATTACCTAACAGTCTCCTGAAAAGCAAGCCAGAGAGAAACTGGTTTATATGGAATTTGTCACATGTTGAAAACTTTATTAGCTGTGATAGTTGTCACATCTTAATGTTCCTAGAATTAATTTACTCAATGAATGAATATATCCTGAGAAAAATCTTTCTTGCTGGAAGTCAGAAGGTTTCCCCTCGTTTTCTGTGTGTATAATGGGATTGTGAGGGTTTGAAGTTGTGTAAATGAATGTGTTTAATTCAGTTATGCTTCTAACATATTATATGGAGTTTAATTTGAACTTGTAATTTTGTTTCCTTTTTGTATGAGCAGTAGTGGATATGGGGGACAGCAACTTCATGCCAATGAAAATGCTAAAAGAGGAAGTTAAGAACACCTTACTCAGTGGAGCAGCAATCTTTTTCCCAGATAGACAGACCAGGCGGCACCAGCTCTTCACCATGATGGTAAACCATTAAATGAGAAATTGTTTGTTTAGTACCTGCTTTCTTTATGGAGAAAAGAGGACAAATCTGAGTTCTTGTTGTCAAATAATGTATACTTTGTCCCATTAAAGTAAAAACCTTCTTTTTTTTTTCTTTGCCTCTTTTTACCCTCCCCCTTCTCTCTCTCTGCAGCTTATCCAAAGAAAGAGGAGCTAACCCTGCCTTTCTTACCAAAAATGAATAGTAGAACGCAGAAATTAGAATTCTTTCTCACAGAGGAGGGAGACAGAACATATCATAAAAATAAATCTTTTTCCTTTTCTAGAAAAACATCACAGAGCAAGAACATAAGCAATCTGTACATCTTGCCTTCAGATCCTTGTGTACCCACTTCAGGTAAGGGGTCTGAAATTGAAAATAACTGTCTGGTACCCAACATCTGTTAATAAGTTCATATTTAATCCTTTTTAGAAGTGTTATTCCCCTGGAAAATAATTCTCCAAAATAATCAACTGACTTTGCTTTAGAAAGGAGAATGCTACTACTTAATATGTTTATTAACCAAATAGCTACATAAAACATTGTCCAAGGTTGGTGCTGAAATCAGTCTGTTGCTCTTAGACTTCGAGGCTGTCTTCCAGTTTTTAAGTGATCGTTTGTCCATGGTGATGGTTTGTATTGATTTAATCAGTCTAGAGTCATCAGAACCCAAACACTTTTGATTTTTCGTAGTAACGATACAGTAGGATCTCTCCAGATTTGTCACAAGGATAACTAAGTTTGTATTTTGTAACTGTGCTGCTTGTTGTTGGTTAGTAAGAAGATCTCTGTTTTGTAGTGATCAAGATCCAGGTGGACTCTTACTATTACCAGAGAAAGGAGTTTCTGCAAATTTTGACATAAGCGAAGTGCTGTCAGTCATGGATACGCTGCTGCTAGTGGCAGCAAGAGAGGTAACTGTCTTTGCACGCTTTCTCTTCCTACTTCTTTGCCATGATTTTTGTATGCATTCAAACACAAGCTGCATGCCTGAGATGTATGCTAAAGAGCTAACTTTCCTGTTCTTCTGGACAAAACTATTCATGGCTATTCAAGTCTGTAGGATTAGGTGTTCCAACCAACGGAAACGTTTTCCTTTAAGCATTAACATTTCATAATGCTAGAGTAAGTAATGTATAAGATGAGGAATTTTTCCATAGCGTTGAAAAGACTTTACAGCACCCTATCAACACTAGGAAACGGAAGTAATCATCCCATATTGAGAGGTTAGATTTGGTCATGCCACTAAGGGAGGTGTAAATGGAGGAGGGTCATTTACATATGCAGAAAAAAATGTGGTGAGAACATCGAGTGACTCATATGTAGCTGTTCCTACTTAAAATTGCGATTTATCAAAACAAATTACATTAGTTGCTTCATGGTGTTATATGGGGCTTGTCAGTTGCGTTTAATCTTTTTTGTGGGGTGATGGGGATGATAACGTCCATCACAGTTTACTTAGTACATATAGTATGTCGTTCTGCAGCAGATGAGGATATCCTTTGGTTACGTTCTTTATTTTTCAGTGTGAAATGATGATGCTGGATGTTGCACAGCAGGAGAGTGGCACAGTCTTGTCTTCCTTATTCTGGTCTGTTCAAGGTAGCCTCCTTTCCTGGTGCTACCTGCAACTGAAGGGTAGCGATAATTCAGCCAAGGATCTTGCTGTAGGAATACTTAAAAACTGTAAGTGCCGGGATTGAATACAGAATTAAATGTGGTGTAATACAGGACTTTAAAATGTGAAAAATTAGCAAATAGCAGAGTAATAAGCGTTCACTAGTGGTTGCCTGAGCCATTCTAATAACCGTCATAGCAATTCCAGTCTCTCTAGGACAGAATCTGTAGGTATATTGAGCAACTAAGAATTTCAGCCATATTGATAATTTTATGTTGGATGAATCTTCAGAAGACATTTCAGTAACTTTTGGGTGTCAAATACTGGGGGGGG